TCCTCGGCAATATCTGCTTCATTTTCATCCAAGCCCAGGTGCACTGCGTCCAAGTCAGCCATAATTTTCATTTGTTTTCCTTGGTTTGCTCTGCCAGCGCTTATGCTGAAGTTAATGGCTGGGTTTCTGTGACTATACGCAACACGAATGCGGGGAAAAGAAAAATGAAAATTAGAAACTCAGCCGTCTTTTCCACGGCTGTGCAATTGAAATTACTGCATTTTCTTACCTCTTTTGGTATGTTATGTACGAAGAACTGCAAAAGTAAAGTTTTATGAAGAATTTGTGCAATTATTGAATATTTTATTTATTGATTTTCACAATTCGACGTGGAATAAAATTTGCATATACCTCAAGAACGATGGATAATTTTCTTCTTTCTTTGACAAACTCAGCAATGGTGGACGAGTGAAAAGAAAGATGACGCGAAGCTAGCTATCTCCCTTATGTAAACCAGGGTTGCAATAGGATACAATTTGACGCCTTTAAATAAAGCGCCAGCGCAGCACTAGCGTCTAAATATTTGAAGTGTCATGTTATGATTCGAAGTTTGTATCAGGAGATTGGCATTTGGCAACACTGTTAACAGGTGTTTCTGACATTACGAATGTAAACAAAACATTTTGTTTTCCTCGTTGAGCAACGCATGATACGAAAAAGAACAACGTTTTCAATTGGGAAATTTTTTAAGTACACCGAAGCTCAGATACAAATGCAATCTAATACCAGCCTCAATTTATGCACGCTACCGCTAGAGTTAATAGAGAACAATGTTTATCAAAAGTGTTTACTTCCCAAAGAAATATTTAAAGCAAGCGGTTTCCATCCAGGGGATTGGGTGAAATGCACAGTGGCAAAAAGGAGTACCCACGGGTTTTCAATATGTCAGGTTTACCCGCGTGATATCGAAGCGAAATGTTGTTACATGGACAATATTGTAGGCACATTTGTCAGTGTAGAAATCGAGGACAGATTAATAAACATAATATCAATTAAAACGTATTGTATAGAACACGTTGAGATCTCGCTGGAACTAACGGCGAACTTTTTCAACGGCCGTCTTCGTAAATCGCTTCCAAATATATTATCCATAACCGCAAAGCAGATCTTAGCTTCGCTATACTTGTCGGTCGGATGTGCTGTTCGCACTGCAGACGCTGCACGATTGGGTATATCTGCCATCTACATTGATTCTTGTTCTAATGCAGATGAAAATGTAATTTTCCAGTTGGATAGTAACACTAAAGTT